ATCATAACGATGAAGAACATGCTTTGGAGTGGTTATTCGGTATTTTTGTTATTAGATTTGTGAAAACCTTTATCTACCACATCTTTTGAACTATGTTTTTAGCCATGATCGGCTAAAAACCTCTCTTTTTCGGTTCTAGTTCTTATTTAACTGTGTGTGGTTAATTTCATCAGATTAATGTTTTAGACTTGATTGCAACCTAGTGATTTATATTTTGTTTAATAAATTAGTTCAATTTATGGTCACATAAATTGGTATGATTTGTAGTAAAAATAGTTAGGGGTGTTTGAGATTGTTTATTTAAGGAGTTTGTTGACTTATTGCGGTTTGACACTAAAAAATAAGTATTTTTAGTGCTTGGATATATTAAAACAAAAAGTCTTTATTCACTTAAATGAGGAGTTTTTCATAAGTCATTAAGGGGGTGTATGAGATTGCTTATTTAAGTTGTTTATTAGCTTATTACGATTTGTCACGCTAATAAACATTTTATAGTGTTTAGATAAAGCAAAAATAAGTCCTTATTTACTAAAATAAGGAGTTTTTTTGTGGGTATTTGGCAAGATTCTAAATAACGTGAGGTGTGAGCTTGGCGGAAAGGTCAAGCCTAAATCATGGCAAGCCTTGACGAGTCATGATGTTTTTCAAGGCGTGACAATTTTATCTACATTAAAAAAATCATAGAGTTATATAATTAAATCAAATATATCAAGTTTTTAGAAGTGATATACTATCATTTAATATAAAAAAGTTAACAATAACTCAATGGTTTTACGCCCGATAAGAAAACATAAAACAAAAAAGTCAAAAAATTAAAAAAAAAACGCGCATTGGAAAAAACTCGCACCATAACGCAATAAAGCACGTCATGACACTTTATTTGAATGTCACGCTTAACAAATTTGTCTTTGATTTTTTCGTAACGGCTGCACCACGACTCACGCCATAACACGCATTGAGCACGTCGTGGAGCGCCTTCTAGAACCATGGTATTTGGTATAGTTTTTTCAACTCCAAAAATAATTTTGGGTTTTTATTAAAAAAACATATTTGGATTAGTTTTGTGGTGACAAAATTCATAAGTCAATTAGTTAAAAAGTGTTTAGCTTAAAATCTCATTTTTAAAGCTATTATTGTTAAAAAACTAAAAGGAGTTTCAAAAAGTCAAGTTTTACATGTCAAATTTTTTTTCTTAAAGGTTTTTTTGAAGCTAATGAAAAAATCATTTTAAAAAGTGTTTTTCTTAAGATTGTAAAAAAATGTTTTTTGACTTATTAATTTTTCAAAAATCCAATAAATTAATAAATTGTTTTGAAAAGCCATATAAACACCCTCGAATAAGTTAATACCTTCTAACTTATCTAAAAACTTATCACTTATTTTAACGAGATTATCATACAAACCTTAATATAACCCTACACTTAAATATATATATATATATATATATATATATATATATATATATATATATATATATATATATATATAAAAGTTGTTTTTTTTTTTTATCATTTTACGTGATTAAATAGAATTTGTCAAACATTAAAAAGACAACTTATGAGTTTATTATGTTTTGGTATTGGGTAAGTTAAACCAACTTTTATCTAATTTTACAGCCAATTGATCGATTCGGTTAGGATTGGATCCAGATGGTTATCTAAGAACCGAACGATCAAATTTGGATGTTGAAAATTTCAAACCAATCCAGTCCAATTACCATCGGATATTTAATGTATGTCGGTTGGTTTCATTTACAACAAACTACTTTCGTTGATCCTCATTGACAATCAATCCCCTCATCCGCTTTTGCGCCTTCACAAGACACAAGGTGGCTGCAAAGACTATCATTGATAGATGATAGTTGATCTCACATTTGAACCTCGCCCTTGGGCACCTGTAAACAAACAAACTAAACAGTTAGAGTAAATTACACGAATGGACCCTATAGTTTGTGGTAATTTACGTGTTTGGTCACTAACTTATTTTTTTAACTCAGAAGGTCCTTATTGTTTGTTTTTGTTACGCACTTGGTCTCAACTGTTTGTTTTTGTTACACGCTTGGTCCCTGTTTTACCTAAAACGACTATTATTTAAATAGGGAAAAATGATGAGACATATAAGGTAAGGTGAGGGGGGTGAGGTTGGGGATGTGTTTATTTAAATAAATTAAAAAATCAATGGCAAAATAGTCTTTTTAGGTAAAACAAGGACTAAGCACGTAACAAAAACAAACAGTAAGGACCTTCCGAGTTAACAAAATAAGTTAGGGAATAAACACGCAAATTACCCTAAACCATAGGGACCATTCGTGTAATTTACTCAAACAGTTAAGAATCAAGTAGACAAAAAGCAATGATATATATTCATTGTTACATTACATAAAAAATCCGTAACAATATGTATGATTTAAAAGCAATATTATCTTGATGATTAGTTAATACTACACAGTACACAAATAATGATTTGTAGTGTAGTATTATATTTTTATTTGATATTTGATATTTATAGTACACGTAAGTAACGTAAGATTAAAAATAATTATTAAGATATCACAATCTAAAATGGATACGAATGTTGTCGAAGACAAAGATCGGATCACCTAAAGAAGTTCTAAAAGGCGGCCTACGTACCCTGCTGAAATTGTTGACCACAGATGGAGAAAACTCCAAAAGAACAATAAATACAAGGGGACAAACTGAAACATTTTATTTTACGTGGAATTGAAAATGTTGTTATACTAACTACAAGTACACACCTAGAGACCAGAGGAGAAGGTGGGGAGCTGGAGGAAGGCCGGATTGGCGATTGGCGACGTTTCAGAAGCTTTGAAATAAGCGGTAGGTAGGTCAGCAAAGCAAACCTTAAATTCATAATTTTCAAACCTATCGTTGTCAATTTACTTATTAAAAACCCTACGTACATGCATCATAAATTCATAATTTTCTTACTTTATATAGTGACGAACAGTGTTGTAAAACTCGTCGAATTGACCGATTATTCAGTCGAGTACTCTCTACTCGGCTCCTTACCGAAGCGAGTTATAAAATCTGAATACTCCTTAGTGGTTGCATGTGGTATTGATGTGGTACCCACCACATTATTAGTTAGTGGTGGGTATAACAGATGGTGTAAGTCAAACAACGTTGAATGTAAAATAAAGAATAATTTACAAATTATCTATAGGTTATTGAGTAGTCTAGCAACTTTTGTATTACTTTTTTAAGATATAATCATTTTTTTTTTAAATGAAAAATGATCATCTAGTCTGGAATAAGTCATTTCAGAGTGAAGTTATCCGGTCCGACCCATATGTATCGGGTTAAAAAAAATGGCATTACATAACCCATTCTGAAATGCATATTGGAATGGCTAAATATCATCATATTCCGGAGACTTTACAGGTAAGTTATCGACTCATTTATTTGTACTTGTTTAATTTTCTAATTATAACTGTAAAAACTTGAGTCCGCAACACGACAAATTAATTAGGTAGTTTTTTGGTATTACGAAAGACCCAGAGTTTTAGAAAAATAGTTACGTTGACAATAGCATGCGCCTTACGTTATTCCATATTGATTTTTGTATTCCACCAGAACACGTCCGGAATACGATGAAATAGTCCAGAATGTGAAAAACTAGTCCAAAATGTTTAGAACAGTGTGTTTCGGAGCACCATTTGCAGGATGACAACATTTTTTTATGTTTCTCTTACAATGTCTTGCAAACCTGTCATTGCTACGGATATTCTAGCTAAAATCACGAACCGACCACCATGCAAAGCGATGTTCTAAAAGACGTGTTTTGCTAGGTGGTTAGATATTCATGTTTGGCTAGAAGGGATATTTTGCTTTTACATTACATATTTTGCAAAGAAGTTGCAACACACTCTCGATGTCAAGTACATGAAATGGTTTTTTGAGATCAGTGAGTACGAGTTGACCTTTGGGAAGAGGAAATTATGCATTGTCACCGACTTCTAGTTTGGTGAATATTTTGTTTTCTCGGATTCTAATTATGTGTTTCCTACGGTCAAGACGATAGAGTCGATAAAATTGGAGCATGTAGTTAATGCATTTGAAACATCTCTTCATGAGTTATCGGACGAGGATGCGATCCATGTGTGTAAGGAGAAGGTGTTCAATGGTCGGTTGCTTCATCATCCTATGAAAGAGGAGTATTTGGGTTTGATATCTAATTTTGATGATTTCAACAGGTATCATGTCTTTAATTTAAAAATATCATTATTACTTTACGAAATTAATTGTGTATTTTTTTGTAGTCACAAATATTTGTGATGGCAGATAATTTGGGATTATTGTACGCTAGCTAGAGACGGTATTCAATAAGCTTAATAGGCTTATTCCTGCAAAAGAAAAAAAAAAAAAAAAAAAAAAAAAAAAAAAAAAAAAAAAAAAACTAACATACAATCTAAGCAGGTTTTTTATATGTTTTTAAGGTAAAATACATGACTAATTTTGGCAAAAGGTAGATTTGCATCGAGTGTGTATCTTACGTAATTAAGTATACAGACTAATTTTGTTTCTTTATAACGTAGTTCACTTCAGTCTACCCATTTTGCAAGTCCACCATCCAACAGCCCACAAAAACCAAACTCACCAGACCGGACAGACACCACCAACGCGTCAGTCTATGGCGGACACATATAAATAACATGGTATATAATTAAATCAATTTAAATTTAGTTTAATTTATTAAACCCTAACAATCTAATTTTGATTCACAAGAAAACGTTACCAACTATTTACTATAATAAGCAAGTTGGTAACGTGAGTATTTGTTTATTTATTTGGTTATAGTTACTGGTGCTTTTAGTTTTGTGGAATTGTGGGCTTGACAAATGGGGTCGGGTTGAGGCTGAATAAAGCCCCAATAAATAACCATGGACATGGACTTGATTCCTTTATAGTTTTTATATTTAAGATTTCATGCTACATTCCTACACTGAAAAAAATAAGAACAAAACAAAAACAGATAGATGATCAAGATTCAAGATTCGGAACATCATCAAGGATAAAAGGGCCAAGTTTTCCCGCCCTAAACAATGTAAGAAATTTCTTAGAAACCATAGTACGCGCCTCTGTTGCTTTACTTGAGATCTTCAATGCTTTCTGCAATGCTACAAACTGTTCTTCAATCAAAATCTCCAACTGATTCTCATCCTCCAAATCACCTTTGAACTCTGATAGAGTCGAGTATAGTGCAGATTGCACCTCTCTGGCAACACCCTGCATTAAAAAAAAAAAAAAAAAAAAAAAAAAAAAAAAACCAATAATTTTAATATCAAAAGTCAAAATGCAGGTCAATTTTATTGATGAATTCAGAAACTGCACAAGTTAGTGTTACCTCAACGTAATGCACATTAGATGCAACAGGAAGAGTTCTTCTTTTAGGCAAAAGATCCTTAAGATTGTAGTCACGTTTATCATCATTTCCATTTTCATTTTGCATTTCCTTTAGAGTGTTGTTATTATGCACATTCCTCCAATGAAGGGGAGTTTGTCGTGTATTTAGAACAGCAAGAAAATACTGAGCAATACGTTCTTCTCCCACAACTGAATCTTTCACAGATCCTGCATTTAGACCTAACCCATCAATTATTAATTCCATACTAAATGTGGGATTGGAATGGAATTCAATTCTGATTCCGGCCAAATCCCAGAATCCAACAAACCAGACTTTTTCTTTTTTTTTTCAGTCACGGGTGACAATCAAGTTGAAAAGATACAAGATTTATAACAAATTCAAAACCTGATAGAGCTAATTTTAATCCTGTTTCAATGTCTGGAATGGATGGGACTAGAACTCCAGGGGTATCCAGTACATATATGCTAGGTCGTTGTGCAATCTGTGCAAGTAACATGGACAAATGTTAAAAATTTGTTTGCATACATACAAAATGTACCCATATCCAAAAGATTGATTTTTTCAACATGGTTTATGTGTTATTATTTAGGAATAAAGGAGGTTAATCTTGTCTTAAAAAAAAACTTGACCTTGAATCCTGCAATATCTTGAGTAACACCAGGCAATGGTCCTACTTTTGCTCGTTTCTTCTTCTCCTGCACTAAGAAAAATCTATAACAGTCATTATAGGGATGACTTAGCAGTCTGTTGTGTACTTGATATACATCTGACATGATGCTAATGAGGAGAGAAAGTGTGGGCCAGTTCAAGGGTTGTTGGAAAAATAAATCCTTTATCTAACAAGAGTACAAGACAAACTAGATAAACAGTTCACCTGGAAACCGAGAGGATGCAATTTGATGAATGCAGTTGATCAAAGCTGACTTCCCGACATTAGGCACACCAACCACCATGACAAGGAGTGTAGGTTCTTTTGCGATTTTTTCCTTCAGTTTGAGCTCGACAAGTTCTAGAAGCTATTTTTAGAATTAGAATACTTTAAAGGTTCAAACTAATGCTAAACTCAGTATCTATCTAGCAAATGGTTCAGCCGATAACTCATTCATTTAGGTTACGAATGGATGAAAGATAAGTTGATAACCCAAGGAAATCTACTAAATTGTGCGAAAGTTTGTGATTTTCAAGCAAAAATTGGTAACCGGCTAATGTCTCACAAATCATAATCAAATATATTAACAAAATCACAAAATTTGGAACAATTTGCAAGAAGGGTTTTATGATTGTACTAGCAAGTTTGCAATGGCATAACCAACCTTCTGAACAGAGCTCCTGCTGTGTGCATTGATGGGTAGACAATCTTGCTTACAGGAACTGAAGTAATCAACCCATTTCTGATAAAACCCAAAATCAAACAAGAGATTATTCCCGATTAGAAAAGATATATACTTGATCAGGTCCGAAAGGAGGCAAATATTTGATACATACGTGCATAATATTGGGATTTGCTAAATCTTTCTTGTTGAGAGCAATTACACGCCGTTTGGTGGATAGACGAGGTTGAAGGTCTTGATTTGCAGACGACAACGGAATCTGCATACCATTTTGCACAATTAGAAAACATAGAATCGAAAAAGAAGAGATCGGTGTTGTTAATAGTAGAAGAAAAGGGCATGCGTACACGGGAATCACGGACTTCGATGACAAGGTCCGCGAGTTTAAGGCGAGCATTAATGGCGCGGGTGGCGGCCGCCATGTGACCGGGGAACCAGTTGATGTTGCCACCGCCGCTGGTGAAGCCCATCTCTCCCAATCCTTTTTTCAGTATCTTCCCTGCTCCCCCCATTTTGGTGGTCTGGTTAAACCCTCTCAGGGTTTCTGTACTTCCGTTATTCTCCCGGCTTCTACTTGTAGGTTAATTTAGGGGCTATTTGGTAAAATGGTAAAACTGAATGTAGTGCTGAATCATTAAGAGGCATAGATCATTAAGATGCATGAGCTAAGAAGAGGCCTGAATGATTGGTATTTGTGAGGTTGCTGAATAAGAAAACTTACCAATTTACCTAATCTAATAAAAACAAACTTTGAAATGCATATTAATTAATAAAAATCTACTATTTTCAAATTAACATTTAATTTATATAAAGATCAATGCTATGTAATTAACCTTTATAAATTATTCAAAATCTACCATTTTACCTTATATCAATGTTATGTGATCTCAAAAAGTCAAGTTTTAGAGCACAAAACTAATCAGAGAGATTCAAGATACAAAAAAATAAACCCCCAACATCACCTTCAATAATTTTCAAATTAATCATATGTTGGCATACAATTGTGATCATTCACTATGGATGCGAACAAAATGTTTAAATGGTTCATGAAGAGAAGTTCTAGGTTCAATATAGATGATATGGATTAGGCAAACATGGAATTTCTTTGACCGGGATTAATTCCTTTGTCCAAGATATGACGTTTTTGCCCTCAACCTCCATAAAAATGTTTATGTGCTTTATCTATTTTCCATGTAAGTGAAGACATCTCGTTGGGGCAATTTATCATGGCATTGTAAGCAAAGACATCCAAAAGTTTATGTGCTGCATTTGTGCATCCATATTGTTAGCCTATATATTTATGTTAGTCCATGCTTATTATTAGCCTATTTGTTTTGGGGTCTTTTAGTCTTTATCCCTTTAGGGTTTTCCCAGCTAGCCTTTATTCCCCTTTCTCTTTGTTTTGTTGCTTCATGCTTTTCTATCAAGAACACTTGTATTTTTTTCTCTTTCAATAAGGATGTGGTTCTATTATCATGGTATCATAGTGTAGTTTTGATATTTTAGAAGGGTTTGTAGCAGTCATCTAGGGGTTTACTGTTGATTTGTTTGTTGCTGATGTTCATTTGCTTGTTGGTGTTCGTTTGTTGTTGCTATTCGATTTCTAGGGTTTGCTGTTCGATTTGTTGTTTCCGCTGGTTTGTTGTTGTTGTTGTTCTTTGATTGTTTGTCTATTGTTATGGTTATATATATGTTGCCAACATGACTGGAAAGGATGATTCCCTTCAGTCAATCAGTACTCGATTAGATGGAAAGAATTATACGTATTGGAGTTATATTATGAAAAAATTCCTTCGTGTGAAGAATATGTAGGGCTATGTCACTAGGGTTAAAGTTAAACCTTCAGTGCCTCAAACTGAGAATTTTGATTTGTTGGTTGATACTTGGGAAACTGATAACTCCAAGGTCGTTACTTGGATTAATAATTATGTTACACAATCCAGTGGTATGGAATTGGCTAAGTGTGAAACAACAAAGGAAGTTTGGAATCATTTGGATAGACTGTATACTCAATCCAACTTTGATAAACAGTATCAGTGAAACATCCCAAAAATACAGTCCAAAAATTTCATTTTAAATCATTATGAAAACCATAGTTATCAAACATCATAAGTCGTGTATCTCAAAATATCATAAATAACTGTCAAACATATCAGAGTATAAACATCTCAGGCTAAACAAATGGTGTGTGCACTGTAGTCATCCCGAGCTCTTCCCTTTGCTACCGGAAGTATCTGAAACCAAAACTGAAAACTGTAAGCACGAAGCTTAGTGAGTCTCCCCAAACTACCACATACCATACACATATCATATAACATGCAGCTATGAGATACGGGCCTCGCCCATACTCAAGGAGATACGAGCCCCCGCCCACACTCAGCTATCTCAGATATACGGGCCTCAACCACACTCTGCTAACTAGGAGATACGGGCCTCGCCCACACTCAGCTGGCTAGGAGGTACGGGCCTTGCCCACGCTCCTCTATCTGGAGGTTACGGGCCCCCGCCCACACCACACTATCTAAACATACATACAAGTATCACGCTGATAACAAGTATACCATAATCTACCAATTCATAAACATACTCAGATAATACTAAGATACAGGCCCAGCCCACACTTAGCTACTAATCATAAACAAGTCTAAGATATGGGCCCTGCCCACACTTAGCTACTAATCATAAACAAGTCTAAGATACAGGCCCTGCCCACACTTAGCTACTAATCATAAACAAGTCTAAGATACGGGCCCTGCCCACACTTAGCTATTAATCATAAACATGTCTAAGATATGGGCCCTGCCCACACTTAGCTACTCTACACGGGCCGACATTGGTGCCTTCGACCCGTTCCTACTGAATGAAACTCACCTCGTAAGCTAGTTGTTAAGTCTCGTGTGCGGAATCTCTGACGGCTGCTCCAACGACCCCCCGACTATCATTATCACAATAACACTTAGTCAAAAACTGATAATCCTTCTTAGGGTAAAATGTTTTGGATTAGGTGTCTAAGCCCATAACTATAATTGGTATGTACTTGACCCGATAGTAGCATGGTCCTTTTGGGTTGCCTTCACCGGAGCAATTTGATAGGATGGACTTTTGAGAAGAGGTTATTTGTGATTTATTAATATATTATAAGTATAATATATTAATTGAGAAATCATATTATTTAATTAGTATTGGTCAAGAATTATGTCACACCCCCAAACCAAGGATGGCGGAAACGTCTGGGGGTGGAGGACTTCATGTATAGTATCATAACAACAATTGTAATAGTAATTCAAGCAAACACAACCAACATATATATAATTGAAAAAGTTACATCATTGTATGAATTACATGTTTACGAATCAATTACAATATGTTGACAAAATATGAAATAGTAGACGCCTTAGCGTCCCATCCTCAAAAGCACTTGATTACCTATTTAATGATTTCCTGAGAATACAAGTTGTTTGAAAAAGTGTCAACACAAAGGTTGGTGAGTTCATAAGCTTTTGTTTGGTATTATTAAAAGCCTTTCGTTTGTAAAAGTAGTATTTGTATTAGAAAATCCAATATTTTCCTTAATGTGTAAATGTAGTCTTAAAACCCAAAGACCGAAATGTACAAGTAATTTGTCATATTTATAGTAAAACAATGCAAGTTTAAATCGACATAAACTCGTTAAATTTTAATGAAGTTCCCATAAATTCCAATGTTTATTAATACTTTATGTGAGTTTATTATAACCATACTATGACCAAGGTTGCCTAAAACGACGTTCTTCAGGCGTCGGAAATGTTATGACATTTGTCACCCCAGACCTATCGGTCTAACTGTTGCATGCAGTTTAGGTGTGGGTTTGTCAAACCCAATATAGATCTATACACAAGTATCACGCTCTCCCTCAAGGAGACTCTGGTTACAATACATGACTTAATGGTAATTTGAAGTAAATGTCTCACAAAGTCATTAACGGAATTACATGTTATGAAAACTTGGTACCGTATGGCCGTACCTTGCTTAATGAAAATATCCTTTGTATAAATGTACCCTTTTTAAATGTATGTGTTATGTAATGTATCATAAACTATACCTATTATAGTTTATCAACCAAGGGTAGTACGTAGTAATGTATGCAAACTATATTCAAAATAGTTTATTAAATGTTTGAATGTATCGGTTGTACTTTGATTATAATCACTTGTTATTCTTTATATTTTATATGTCCAAATCCATTTGTAAACTGATGTGTGTCTAAATATTAAGATAAAATTTCATATATTGCAATAACATATAATCACATAAAGATATACACCTTGCTCAACATGTTACAAGGTGAAATGAAATTAACAGCAACTTTTCGTTGAAAACAGTTTCTGTTACTATTATTAGAAAATTTATAGAAAAATCATCAAAGCTCTAAATCCAAATCCGCAAATTTTGAGAGTTTGGAATATGATTCTAGTTTGTTCCTAAATTTTATCATGATTTTTAGTGATCTCTAACAGAGGTGAAAATGTTCATAATCACAGACTGGTCCGGGTTTGCCTCTGAAATGACAGGCAGTTTTGTAAAAATCACCATAAATTGTAGAAAAATCATATGGAGATGTGCAAGTAGCCATTTTAAAGCTAAGAGTTTGAACTACTTGCACCTGGAACAGTTTTGAAAACTAAAATATTTAAGTTGACCAAAACAGTCCGTGATTAAAGCCCATCTTTTCTGATGTAATCTGTTAGAAAAAGTTTAATTGTGTTCTTGATGATTTTACTTGTATTCCCCCCTTAAAACTTAAGAAAAACATGTAAATGTAGGGGTATGAACTCACCTTATGTGGTTTCAGTAGATGAAAGTGAGAGAGAGGAAGTGTTCAACCCAAGAACACTAAGAAGATGTCTTGATGATTCGAAAATCTAACACCGAATAAGATGGAACTTGTGTAAGATATCAATGATTTGAGTAGAATGGAGTTTAATAATTATGTGAATGATGAAGATACTTACTAATTGAAGAAAGAAATCCCTGGAGAAAGCCTTGAAGTTCTTGAAGTTGAGAGAAAAGATGAGAGAATTTTGGAGAGTGTTCTTGGTTGCTAAGTGTAGAATGAAAGAGTTTTATGGAGAATGAGGAGAGAGGATCAATCCTCCAGCTCTTAGAACGTGGGAAGAGCTGGAGATTGGGTGTAAAGGTCCACTAAGGAGACAAGGGGTAGTGGGAAAGAGTGGCTAATCATAGAGTGAGGTGGTGGTGGTTTGCTTTTGCCATAAATTAAGGAAAAGCAAATATTCCCTCAATAATTAGTTCAACCACTAATTCTTTTAATATATTTTATAAAAACCCTGGAGATTTATATATTTTGGGGCCTTAGTTTATAAAATAAAGTTTTGGGTGAAAATCCCACGTTAAAATAATGAAAAACGGAGTTAAAACGAAGTCGTAGTCGAAAAACCGGTAAAAAGGGGCTGTCTGCGAGACCTCTCGCATGGGGGCCGAAGATGCGAGGCTTCGGACCCTCGCATGCGAGGCTTCGGTCTGCTGGCTTCGGTCTGCGTCTCGT